CCTGGGGAAGTGCACCGGCCGCTCCTCCTTTGTCACTGTCGCTGTCAGTGCCAAGTGCTTCGTCCTCGGGGGCAGGGGGACAGCCGCACGGCGTGGCGTCTGCAGGACGTCTGCTGGGGCGGTGGTGATTCCCTGGAGCCACGCGCGCCCCAGGATGAGAGGGCCCTGTGATGCTGCCGTGTCTGGAGCCAGGAAGGGGACCTCGGTGTGGCACCGCGTGCTGACCCTGTAAGGGGGACAGAAGTGACCTTACCCGTCCCCCCAGGGCAGTTACTGATGGCGCCGTCTGCACCCCAGCCTGCTAACCCAGAGTCTCCGCGTGTGCGGCGAGACCCCAGCCCTTCCCTTGCGGGGCGGGGAGGTGGGCAGTGCGGGGTCCAGCTTGGTTCGGAAGGGAAGTAAGCTGTCTCACCTCCCTCCCAGATGCCCCCTTGCGTTTGCTCATGTTGGTTGACACATCCAATCACCATTTTGTGATCAGAGACTGGAAAGAAAAATGCAGACCGTAAATTCCCTTTTTGAGCAGAATGCCCCTGAAACATAATTGGCACTCTGTCGCCTCAAAAAGCAGAAATTGGTGTCAGGAATGAGGCAGAACCCCGCGACTGTGTGGAGGTGGGGGCCTCGTGGGGGTCCTGGCTCGTGCGGACTGCGTGGGTGGCCACAGTGGTACCTGTGATCACGAGAGTCCGACAGGGAAGCTTGCGGGACTCTGGCAAAGCGTGAGCGCGTCCCGCTGGCCTGACCAAGCACTGCGGAAGCCCTCGCCCCGAGTGGGGAGTGCCCGACCACAGCGGGGACTCCCACCCCGTGCATGGCCTGGGCCTCCCATTTCTGGGGCCTGGTGCATCAGTGAAGGGCTTGCCACGTAGAACCGCAGTGTGCGTGGACCTCCCCACCGCGGCAGTGGGGATTGAAGGTGCCCACCCGCGAAGTTTGGGGGGAGTGGCCGCTGAGAAGGATGTATCCGAGGTCCTGGGGGACAGACACTCAGGGGTGGACCCAGTGTCACGTGCCCACCGTCTGACCCCCGCCCTCCTGGGTGCCCATGAACGAGCCAGCCTGGCCAGGGCACTTCCCTGAGCACTTGGCCTTCAGCCAAGAACTCCCCATCTCAGGCTGAGCCCATCATCAAGTGGAGAGGACATCGCATCTCAGGGTGGGGTGGAGCTGCAGAGGTCTCGTCGTCTTCAGAACCAGGCAAGCACATGGTGGGGAGTCGAGGGGAGTCAGGCCAACTCTTGCTGACACCCTCCCTTCTCTCAACTCTTCCATCATTAAGCGCTCCTGGTTTTCCTCCTGTCCCCCTGCCCGCTCGCCAGCCAGCCGCCTCCTTCCAGCATCATGTAAATGCTGAAGTCCCTCAGCTGTGACACCTGTCCCCTTCTGTCTCTGTGCCATTCTTGCTCAGTGCTCTACTCCAGTGTGGTCAGCTTTTCTGGAAAAGATGGGAATGTTTTAGGCTTTGTGGGCAGTAGTCTTGGTGGCAATCCCTCAGCTGCCTGCCATTGTAGAAGGAAGCAGCCGTTGACAGCATGTAAATGAGCAGGTGCGACTGTGTGCCAATAAAACTTTATTCACAAAAACAGGCAACCAGTCAGATTTACCCTGTGGGCATAGTGTGCTGACCCCTGATCCACACCCGTGGCCATAAATATCACGTCTATCACGGGCTTGTGTGTCTCCCCCTCAGAGCCCGTGATCGCGTGTCCCGTGGACTACTTGATGTCCTCCCCAGGACCTCACACTATTGGACGCTTGCTTATACTAAACACGTTGCTTAAGCTATTTAATTCCCTGGCTCACCGAGTCTAGCCATTATCCACTCTTCTGTACCTACTCTGAAATCTTCTCCCCATCCTGCACCGCTGCGGGTTCCCCCAGAGCCTCGCTGCGCCCCCTTGCTGGTGCCAAGTTTCTCGTGCCTGAAGTCTGGGCGTTCCCTTGATTCTTCTCTTCCACTTTCTCCACATCTACCCAACATCACATGCTGTCACATCCACTTCTGGAACATTTCCCCCATCTTTCCATAGTCCCCAGTCCAAGCCACCGTCGCCTGTCATGTAGACAACTCTCATGCCACCAGATGCTTTTCTACCGTCTGTGGCGCGAACGGCAGCCAGCTCGCAGGCATCTCGGCACAGAGCGGGGCGACTAGTAGAGATTCGGGGGTGGTTCAGGGAGTCGGGGAAGGGCCCAGTCATCCACGGTGAAATGGACAGATTGACCCTCCCCTTTTTCTTCTTTTTTTGGTTTAGCAATGAATAGTATATTTCAAATCCTATTTTAAAGGAACAGTTCTACTTCTAGTTATTTACTAGAAAACTCACGCAGAATGAAGGCCACAGTTGATACTTACCAAGCGTTTGCAACGAGGCAGGCACTGTTGTAAGATACCCGAGGTGTATCCGTAACTTAATCTCCCAGTGGCCCCAACATGCAGGCGCTATCACCTGTTTAATGTGAACAGAGCACAGCTGAGAAACTGTGCGTGGACCTGTTCTTTTATTCTAATTTTTCATTGTAAAATGTATATAACATAAAAGTTACTATCTTAACCATTTAAGTGCACAGTTCGGTGGCATGAAGACCATTCACACTGTTGCGCACCCACAACCATTCATCTCCAGGACTCTCTTTTTCTTGCAAATGGAAACGCTGTCCCCACTGAACACTAACTCCCTATGACCCTCTCCCCTGGCCTGGGCCCTGCCATTCTTCTTCCTTCCTTATCTCCCTCCCCACCTTTCCCTAGGGGTCTGCTCTGACCTTGGGCCCCTAACTCTTACAGCAGGTGTGTTTCACTGACCTGAGATGCATCTTAACTGAAAACTGTTACGTCTAATGCCCCAGGTGTGCTCACATAGACTTGGGAGGTCTCCAGTGTATGTCTACACTGCCCTGGGATGTATCTCTAATTCCCCAGGTGTGTCTGCATTATCTGGGATATCTCCCTAATTCCCAGCTGTGTCAACATTGTCCTTGGTTATCTCAAAATTTCTCTAAATTGTAATGATTTGGAATGCATTCCTAATTCCCAAGGCATGTCTATGTGGATTTGAGATTTGTCCCTAACAACCAGGTGTGTCTACACTGACTGTTGTCTGCCTAATTCATTCCCCCATGTGTGTTTGTTGTTACCTGTGATATCTACTTACACCGCAGGTGAGTTTATACTGACCCAGGAGGTCTAATTCCCCAGATGTGTCAACTCTGACTTGGTCTGTCTCCCTAATTCCCTGGCTATGTGTATACTAACCAGGAAGGTCTCCCCAGTTCCCCAGTTGTGTCCACACTGATCTGGCTGAATCCTAAATTAGCACTGGTATTCACCCCTGTTGTCTCTCTGCTTCAGTAGATGTGTCTAGACTGGCATGGGATGTCTGTCCACTTACCCAGGTTTGTCTATTTCATCCTGAGAGGTCTCTCTAGTACCCATGCTGTGTCCATAAATACCTAGAATATTCTCCTAATCTCCCATCTGTGTCTACCCTGACTTGGGATGGCTACCTGATTCCGCAGGTGTATCTGTACCACCTGAATGTCTAATATACCTGGCGGAACTCTTCTGACCTTGTGTGTCTCCTAAATACTCAAGATGAGTCCAGAATAACTAGGGTATCTCCTGGAGTTCCAGTTGTATCTGCCGCAGCCTGGGGGGGTCTCCTGAATGACCCGAGTGTGTCTACCCTGATGTGGTTTGTCTTTCTAAATCCCCAGGTGTTTCTATGCTGACCAGCTTTTGCCCTAATTCTCCAGGTGTGTCAGCTCTGACCTGAAGTTTCCCACGGGATCTTCCCTGTCCTTGGATGTCCCCATAATTGACCCTATGTTTTGCTGACTTGGAAGGTCTCGTTAATTCCCTAGATGTGTCTACAATGACATGGAGGCCTTCCTAATTCCCCAGGTATGCATACAGTGAACATGGGTGTCTATAACTCCCCAGGTAGGTCGCACCTGATGTGGTTTGCATCCATAATACCCTAGGTGTGTATCTAAACTGACTTGGGTTGTTTTTCTGATTCCACAGTTATGTTTACCCTCGCCTGGGATAGCACCTTAATCCTCCAGGTGTGTCTACTCTGAGCTGGTATTCTCTGTAGAATTAGATATCAAGGTGTCTTTCCGTCCTTAGATTTCTCCATATTTTCCCTGTATTTCTTTTAAACATTTTTAAAAGATTTATTTATGTATTGGAGTGTGTGTGTAAGGGGAGAGGCAGAGGGAGAGGGGGAGAGAGAATCCCAAGCAGATTCCCTGCTGAGCATGGAGCTTGACATGGGGCTCGATCTCAAGACCCTGAGACTATGACCTGAGCCAAAACCAAGAGTTGGACACTTAACCGAGTCACCCAGGTGCCCCAACCCTGTGTTTCTACACTGATTTGGGATGTCCCCTATCTCCCCAGATGTGTCTACACTGATAGAGGATGTCTCTCATATTCCCTGGTATGCCTGCTCTTACTTGGATGTCTAACTCCTCAGGTGTAACTACAACGACCTGAGATGGCTCCATAATAACCCAGGCATGTCTACTCTGGCCTGTGATGTCCCAGCAGTACCCAAGGTGTGTCCAACCTGACTTTGGAGGTCTCCCTATTCCCAGGTGTGTCTAAACTGTCCTGGGAGTCTCCCTAATTCACCAGATGTGTGTACACCGATCTTGAATATGCCTTATTCCCCAGGTGTGTCTACTCTGACCTGTGATGCCTAGTATCTGTAGTGTTTACTCTTGTATTGGATAGCTCCCTAATTCCATGAGTATATGTATAATGACCTTTGATGTCACCTTATTTTGCAGGTTTTTCTGCTCTAATCTGGGATGTCATAATTCCCTAGGGGTGTCTACCCTGATCTTGGATGATTCTCTAACTCGCCATATATGTCTAACCTTACCTAGGATGTCTCCCTAATACCGTAGGTGTCTCTACCCTGACCTGGTAGATCTCCCATATTCCCTAGGTTAGTCTACACTGATGTGAATGTCTCCCTATTTTCCCAGGTGCGCCATCACTAGCCTGCAATGTCTCCATAATATCTAAGGGGTGTCCAGCATGAACTTGGATATCTCCCTAATTATACTCACCTTTGATATTTCCCATATAATTCTCCGGGTATGTGTACACTGACTTGGGATGTCTCTCTAAATCGAGTGATGTGTGTACACTGTGTTGGGGTGTCTCCCTTATTCCCTATGTCTGTAGTCTAATAAGTGATGAGTCCCTAAATTCCCAGTCTACAGTGACCCGAGTTGTCTCCCTAATCGCACAGGTGCTTCTCCAGTGACTTTGGAAATCCCAGTAATTCCCCAAGTGTGTCTTTACTCACTGGTTGTACCTTGAATTCCCTAGGTTTGTCTTACCCTGACCAGAGATATCTCCCTGGTTTCCCCAGCATGAAGAATGTGGTCTACGATGTCTCATTATTGCCAAGGTGTGTCTACACTGACCTGGGCACTCCCCTAAGCTCCCAGGAGTCAACCTAAGAAGTCAACCTAAGACCTGGGAATTTTCCCTGAGGAGCTAGGTGTGTATACAGTGACCTGGGCTGTCTACTTCCCCAGTGTGTGTACCCTGCCCTTGGTGTCCCCCTACTTCACCAGGTATGTTTAGACTTACCAGACATACCATTCCTATTCCCCAGGTATGTCTAAATTGTACCGGAATGTCTCCCTCCTTCCCAAGTTATATCTTTTTAACCTGTGATGTCTTTATAAATCTCAGTTTTGTCTACCCCAATCTTGGATGTATCTCGAATTCCACTGGTGTGTATACACTGATCTGTGAAGTCTCCTTCCTTCTGGGAATATACCTGTATTTCCCCAGATGTGTCTAATCTTACCTGGGATTTCCCTATAATTGCTTAGATGTGTCTACCATGAACATGACTATCTCCCTATTCCTGAGGTGTGTCCACACTGACCTGGGATGTATCTACTTCCTCAGGAGTGTCTATTACAAACTGTTTCATATCCCTCATTCCCTGTGTGTATCTACATTGACCTGGAAAGCCACCTTAATAACCTCGATGTGTTCACTCTCAACTAGAAAATTCTCTCTAGTTCCTCAGGTATGTTTACTCTAACCTGATGGTCTCCCAAACCCCAGGTATATCTACACTGTCCTGGGATGTCTACAAAATTCCTGAGGTGTTTCTAATCTGACCTAGTATTTCTCCCAAATAACCCAAGTGTGGGTACTTTGATTTGGGATGTTTCCCCAAATCCCCAGGTTTGTCTACACAGGCCTGGCATGTTTCCCTAATTGTACAGACACTGGTCATCTAATTACCCATGTGTGTTACACACCCAGGTGTGTCTTTACTGACCCGGAAATTCTAATTCCCCAGCTGTTTCTACACTTACTATAGGTCTCCCAAATAACCAGGGGTGTCTTTGACCTAGGATGTCTCCCTCATCATCAGTTGTGCCTACTCTGATCTGGATTGTGTCACTAATTCCCCAGCTCTGTCTACATTGACCTGGGATGTGTTGCTCATTTCCCAGATGGGTCTTCAATAACCTTGGATATCCTCTTAATTCCACAGCTATTTCTACACTGACCTGGGATCTTTCCCCAGGCGTTTTTACCCTGACTTGGAATTTTTTCTTCATTCACCAAGTGTGTCTGCCCTAAACTTAAATATCTCTGGAAATTCCTAGGTGTGGCTTCTCTGATGTGGTGTATCCCCTTGTAGGCCACCTGTGTCCATACTGACTTGCATGAATTCCTAATTCCCAGATGTTTCTATTATGACTTGGGATGTCACCCTAATTCCTCAAGTGTGTCTGCTCTGACCTGGTTTGTCTCCCTAATTCCCTAGGTATATACAAACTGACCTGGGACATGTCACTAATTCCTAAGGTGTGTGTCCATGGACCTGGGATATGTCATTAAAACAGGAATTTATCTTTGCTGCTATGGAGTTTCCCTATTTTCTCTGTCGTCCCTACACTGACTGGAAAGGTCTCCTTAATTTCACAGGTGTGACTATTCGGTGTCTTCCCAATTCCTGAGATGCATCTAAACTGACTTGGATTGTTTCACGAATTCCTCAGATGTGTCTACCAAAAATGGCATGTTTTCCTAATATACCAGGTATGTCTACACTGAACAAGGATGTCTTCTTAATTCCCTAGGTGTTTCAACCCTGATCTAATAGAACTCCATAGATTCCCAGGTATGTCTACCTCAACACTGGAGGTTTGGGGTTTAAAAAAAATTTACTGGGATATAATTGACATGCAGCATTAAGTTTTAACACGTTGAGTTCATACATTTATGTATCGCGATATGATCACCACTGTAGCATTAATACATCTATCACATCCCATAATGACATCTTTTTGGGGGGTGAGAACAATTAAAATCTAGTCTCTCAGCAACGTTGATGCTTATAGTACAGTACCATTGCCTATAAACTATCTGTGTGTTCAATCTCCAGCGCTTATTTATCTATTAGTTGCAAGTTTGTACTGTGAAACATCATCTCCCAACTCCCCCACCCCCAGCCACTGGCAACCATTTTACTGTTTTTACAAGTCTGACTTCTTAAGATTCTACATATGAGATTATACAGTATTTGTCTTTCTCTGGTTTATTTCCCTTAGTATAATGTCCTCAAGGTCCATCCCTGATGTACAAACATCAGGATTTCCTTCTTTCTCATGGCTGAATAATATTCCATTGTGTATACACACCACATCTTCTTATCCACTCATTTGTTGGTGAACACTTAAGTGGTTTACATATCTTGGCTATTGTGAATACTACACTAACCATGGGGTCACACATACCTTTTCAATATCCTGTTTTCATTTCCTTTGGATCTATACCTGGAAATGGGACTTCTGGATCATATAATTGGTCTATTTTTAATTTTTAAAGGAGCCTCCATATTTTCCATAGGGGCTGAACATCCCACCAGCAGTGCACATGGTTCCCATTTCTGCACATCCTCATCAGCATTTGTTTGTTCCTTGTTGTCTTGGTAACAGCTGTTCTAGCAGGTGTGAAGTGCTAGCTTGTTGAGATTTTGATTCGTATTTCCTTGATTATTAGTAATGTTGAGTATCTTTTCATGTACCTGTTGACCATTTGGAAAAATGTCTGTTCCTCTGTCCATTTTTTAAATCAAATGTTTGGGTTTATTACTGAGTTGTATGTTCTTTATGATTTTTTTTTTTTTTTAGATTTGATTTATTTATTTGAGAGAGAGAGAATGAGAGAGAGCATGAGAGGGAGGAGGGTCAGAGGGAGAAGCAGACTC